GACACGCTATATTCGAAAGTTTTGGCACAACATTGTTTTTTTTTTTATTAATTTTATATGTCTAATAATAAATGTCTTGTAATGGATCATTTATAATTTTGAACTACAAACGAAGCTAAAAAGGCCTTTTCCGGTTCTCACTTCTAGAATACTGCGAAAATTTGCTTTACAAGTGCACTTTGAACACCAGTTTCCGTACCTACTCTAAAAAAACTAATTACTACTAGCACAAGTCGTTACTCTCAAACATAACTTGTTTATACTTCGAGGCATGTACTCGATGATAATTTCAAGTATTGCATCGAGCTGCAGTTGGACAATCAAGTTGTTTTCTTGAGTGGAATACCTCAATCGATTTGTCAGTAGCTAAAATGGGGAATGCGAATATCAAATGTAAATTCAAATAAGAAGCCGCATTTATTGTTTGGTGCTTAAAAAACTATTTATATATTTTTTTCATGACTTCAGCGGTGTCTTTGAGTTTAACTATTATTACTTGTACATATATTATGTACTGACATACAAGTCCATACATACATACATACATACACACAATAAATCTTTAAATTCATAGTTCTGTTTTCGAAAACGGCTGTTTAACTTTTAATCTTCTTCACGCGTAAATATAGTGAAATTGTTAGTTTGAATGTATGTAGTATGTAAGTATGTATGTAGCTACATTCCGTCATTGGGTTTACTGAAATTTTATCTTATCGAATTCGTATTTATCACAACTGTTTTGCGATTGTTACAGGAGAGGTTCGACACTGGATAAATAGCTCGATTTTTGCACATTTACAATGTATAAATTTATTGACTTAACCATTGAACAATTGTTTAAATACCGTATTTTTTCATTATTCATATCTGTTCATGTACAGACATATGCACACATATGTATGTATATCTGGAAGATACCAATCTCCTTCACGCGTTCTTTTAAAGGCCTTTCAACGTTTTTGCCCTAAGTGCTAATTTTAATAAAAGCTTTCAGTTAATGAAATATGTATAGACATAAGTAATTTTGAATTGCTTTTTGATTTAATTATCCCCATGTAGATCTACTAAATCTCTACGTATGTATAAAAGTATCTAAATAAACTTATGTACATCTGTACGTAAATGTATGCGAATTCATTTACACATTTACGCATGTAAATGATGCGTATGTATTCTTGTATATAATATATTAATAGTAAAAAAATAACATTAATAATAAATCAAGATTTCTAAATATAAATTAAGAACCATTTCAACTCCTGCGCCACCTATCGGAAACATTTTTTGTAAAGTTATTTATTTCCATGTGGGCAACAGGAATCGAAGCGGACTATAAATACTGTTTTTTTGTTTAAATATCTCGACTTTGTGCCACCTAGCGGATTAATTCCTCTTTCTTGTTGTTTGTCATCGGATTTTGAGCTAAGTTTAAAGTTTCAAGTATTTAGGCTATCGGGGAAGTACTCAGAAATCGCAATACTGCACGTTCTTAAAAACATATATTCTACTTACATATGTATGTACATTAGACTGCCTCACTCCCCATACAAAAAAAAAATCGTAACTGTGTTTCCATTGGAATTATAAAATCTGTTGTATTTTAAGACGCCCACCAAAATATTTCTGTACTATATACTAAGATTTACGTGAGCTGGACCGATTTGTAAGTACCTCCAAAAATGGAGTTTTTTATGAATAAAAATAGTTTCTTAAAGACTTTTTTGAAAAAAAAAATCCCCTCAAATGATAAAACGGTTTGAGCTTAAAAAATTTGCATAAAAAAAATATATATTTTTTTAATTTTCAACGGAATCGTAATAATCAGATTGTTGATGCTGTTTTTTTTTTTTTAATTTTTCAAAGATTGCTATAAGAAAAACTTGAATAACTGAACCTAAACTATTCCGATGTAGACTTGTGAGGTATCATTGTAAAGGTATTTTCTCAACCTTTTTATTTCTTTGCCAATAAACTCATTCAAGGGATGAAAGAGAAAGGTAGGATGAACGAGCGGCATTCCGAGTTGAATTAAGATGTGCTGGTATTTGAAAAAAAGGGACGTGAATGAGTTTTTTTCACAGAAATAAAAATCTCATTACTACGATTCCGTTCAAAAGATTTTTGAGTATTTTTATGCAGGTTTTTTAAGCTTAAACTGTTTTGTCATTTTGTGATTTTTAGGCATAAATCTCGTTGCCTGGAGATTAGCGTTACCAAATCTCATTTTTGCCACACCGGCGATTTTGGCGGTTTTGCAAAAACATCGACGATATGTATGTTCATATCGTCACCTGAAATGCAAAAAGACGTAACAACATAGCCACTGAAATGGAAAAAGTCGTAATTAGTATTTTTTTTTTATAAAACGATGTGGGGAGTTGTAATTCGAAGAAATCCATCATATCAATCAAAAAGTGAATTTTGAATTTTTCATTAGTTACGACTTTTTGCATTTCAGTGACGATGTTTGCTAGATATGTATGTATGTATGTATGTATGTAGACCGTTTCAATACTTAGAAAATGAAAACAAAACAAAACCATTATAAATGTTAATTTAATATTTGCGATAACTAAATTCACACGAATAAATGATTTGGACCCTCCGTAAATATGGAAGTGTGTGTGAGTGGGTAGAGAACTACAACAACAGTATACATAGTTAACTTCACATTAAGCTTAAAAAGTTCGTGCTGTAGCACTTAATATAATTCCTCACAATAAGTAATAACTATTTAGTAGGGCCACACTCTCATGGCGTGCGCTTTGTTTGCGAGTAGAACTCAAGATAGCTGCCACATGTAGGTATTTCTTGATTTTTCTGAAATCGCCAGTATTTGCACTAAAAATCGAAACAATTTTACATAGTGCACTTTGCAAGTGGACTACTCGCTTCCATTCCACAGGTCCTGGGTTCGGGCCCAGTTTCCGACCAACATCAAAAAATAAAACATAAACAAGTTTTTTCTAAAGCGGTCGCCCTCGGCAGGCAATAGCGAACCTTCGAATTCTGCTATGAAAAAACCGCTTCTCAAAAAAAAAATCCAATCGCTGTTCGTTATATAAGCTAAGCGTTTAAGTTTTCGAAGATAGGTATAGTTTTTTTATAATTCCCAACATATATGTAATACTTCTAGCTCTTACTGCCAATATAGGAGTATTACATATATGATTCCCAAGATCTACTACTTTTTTGACTACTACTACTTTGAACTACTGCGAATAAGTTGGTTCTGTGTAGATACCTGTGGATTTTAACTTCGAAGATTTATATTTTTATATAACCTATTTTGAAATTATTTCCTACATTGTGCCATTTAATGCAGAAGTAAGACTCAAATTTACTATCTATACTATAATAAAACTCTAGATTGTTTGTCTATATGTCTGTTTGTCTGTTTGAACTCACTTACAGTGACGGGCAAAACTGTAACATGGTGTAACACTTTTTACTTCAGCCATCGCTATCTTTCCAAGTTCTAACGACTTTCATACTTTTGTTGTATATTCTTGTTGGTACATCCCTACTCCCTCTCTCATAATGATATGAAGTCAATACAGCAACAATAAATAAACTTGCAAACAAAAATGTAAATTAATGCAAGTGTTACAGTTCTGCTCTTCAGTCCTTTCAACCTAAGCCAATAACGTTTACATTATAAACCGTTTTTGCATTTCAACACTATTTTTGTATTGGTCCACGCAAAAGTTCTTTTCAGGCGTTGCGAAGCAAGCCAGGCATTTGATAGTGGATTCATATTTGATTTCTTCTTCCGGCAGGGTGATAAGATGATGTACCCGTTTTTTGGAATTGAATTCTCTCATCCCCGCACGAATCTCGGCCTTTCGGCCTTTTGCCGTTGGTATCAAAATTCATCTGTATAACGAAATTTTGCTGGCATCTCATATTTCCATCTGACTTTTCCAATTGTAGTCCTGTTGTTGTTGTTGTAGCGGTTACTACCCTGCAAAAATCGCGAGTACGCCATGCATGCATGTAAATAGTAGTCCCGCAGGACCAAGGAGTACTCCAAAATTAACCACAATTTATATAAAAAAATATGGCTACAGCCAGACATGCAAATGTAATGCTCAACTTCAATCAACTTCTATTTCATTAAAACACAGTAAGCTGGTGTAGAGACACGAGTTGGACCGCTACAGCATGAAAGAGGAAGACTTTTGTAAGTACTTCAATATACCACAAATAGACTACATGGTCCAACGATTTTTGCAGGGTAAGCCCCGCTCGGGTCGGTTCATCCGTCAACGTTGTCGTCAGTTTCAGCTAGGGGGAGGCTCAGGAAGTGTGCGACTTCCACAGGGTCTCTCCATAGGGTCCTTAAATGCTTCGCTGTTTCTGAAGTTTAAAAATTTGAGAGCATTCGCTTTTTCGTGAGGGTGTAAGTAAGTCCGGCTATGGCAACAAAGGACGGAAACATATATACATTTAATATAAATTTAAATATAGATTAATATTTTTCCAGGTCGGTCACTATCTACATGTGGCTTGAATAGTGTGAATAACTTTTGGGGATTACTTTGGGCTTACTTCTGTTTTGAAATTCGTGCATATATACATATGTATGTTTGCAGCTTAATATGTTAAGTATACTTCAAGTAGCAACGGTACAATAAACACTTTAGTGGCATAAGTTCAATTATCAGTATTACATCATCGAAGAAAATTTATCAGTATTACATTATCGTTTTATTAAGCTGTATTGTGCATGAAAAAAGGCTGCATTCCCTTGAAAAAGGTGTGGTTTAGTTTAAAGATTTTGACGAACTCAAGTCCTCAGATAAATTTAATAACAATTGCGCATCAGCAAGAAGTTACATCATCGTTTTGAAAAGGCAGCGATGCATACATACATATACTATACGATATACGTAAGCCCGCTTCTTGAATTGAGATATGTTTGTACTATTTATGCAAGTATTCCAATGAGCGAATACTGATGCTTGTAACTAGACGAGTTAACCAAAACGAATCTAGCATTTGATAGCGTCGTAGGCGTTGTTATTCTTTCTTTGCCGCCCGCTGTCTGTACTTCAATTTGGCGTCCACTTTAGATAGCTCGCGCAAACGACGGAACTGCCACTAGTGTGCGGCGCGTATCGAGAGTGCGGAAACGTTAAATTAGTAGATGAACTCGCGCGTATAAGTTATTCGAAAACGCGGTTGACAAGTGTGCTTGCCGTCCAAAAAAAATAAGACGAGTAGACTTAACAGTGAAAATGAAAGTGTGATTTAAAAAAATTGTGAAATTCATTCTCTTCGGTGGAAAGTAATTTTTGGACTTTATAAATACATATAATTAAACTGGCAAAAAGGTAAATACATACATAAGTCCAAAATTTATCAGTGAATATAATAGCTGCTGTTTTTGTTTTAAGTGTTTGCTTGTGAATATGGGTTTATTTCCTGAAACTATCTTGCCTAACTAATAAGCTAACTATTTTTTCGCTGTAGGACGCTCGTATACGCTCTTTCGCATTCAACTCGGGGGTGGCCTTTAGCCACCAAACTATGCGCACCAAACCCACGCTCGCATTTTTATGCTTTAAGGAACGCCAACATTAATCAGCACAAGAGATACATATGTATTACCTACAGCAGGGGCCCAGCAAGGGCAACAAATCAAATGCTCTCTCATTCATCATCTCCTTATGTTAAAAAGCAAATTTATGTATATATAAATATTTCTGGTTGTTGTAATGATTTTTGCTGACTTGTTTTGTTCAAATTTGTTCCTTTTTATTTTTGTTTTTTTTTTTTATAAATATACTTTAGTTGCATCGCATTACATAAAATATTTGTCTGCATTGCACACCATTAGCGCTGGAATCTCAATATTTCTCTTTTTTAATTGTAATTTTTATTTTATAATAAAGTTTGGTTGCTTCTACTAGTAATCTTTAGTTTTATTTATGTTGTTAATTAATAGCATTGCATTAATTTTCAGCGCACCGACTCATCCACCAAACATTGGTTGGCATGCTGCCAGCACGAGTTGCATGAACGACTGTCTCATCCTTCAGACAAGAGCCAAAAAACGCACGCTAATTGGCACGACAACCAAAGAGCACTTAGTGACACAATGCCCGAACGCAGGGCTGCATTTTTACATCCGTCGGATACGGAACGATTGCTCTGCATTTTCCTAGCGCTTATTCTTCTCGCTCCTTTTGCGGCAGCTTGCTCCAGTCGTGCCATACAGAAATCACCGCCGCCGCCATTGCCGTCCACAGGACCAGCTGATGATTCCACCACGCAGCGCCCAAACATAACATTCCCGATTTACAGCTGCCCGCCCACCTACGCTGCTTGGTATTGCCTAAACGAAGCCACCTGTTTTACCGTTGAAATCCACAATGAAATACTCTACAACTGCGAGTGCGCCACCGGCTTTATGGGCCCACGTTGCGAGTACAAAGAAATCGATGGCTCATATTTGCCGACAAGACAGCGTGCCATGCTCGAAACCGCCAGCATTGCGAGTGGTGCAACATTAGCGCTGCTCGTGGTTGTTATACTCTGTCTGATGTGGTACATACGCTACGACAAACAGCGCCAGAAGCTGAATGAGAGCGCCGAAATGGCTCACGACAACGAAGGCCTCGACGAAGTAGACGGTATGACACGATTGCCAGTGCGTCGACCATTCGGTGAACATCATTATAAAACTCTGCCTTTAGCAGCGGCTTTTAAGCGATAATTTACTAAAGACGGAGGAGAACCGTCCAAAATAATGGGCAGCTAAAACGTCAACTGAAAGGGGCCTTTAAAATTCCAGATTACTTACCACGCTAATGGCTACTAGAATAAATAAGTTTAATGACGACGTGCAAGATATTAAGCACAGAAAAGACAAAGAGATATACATACATATTACAAAAGACATTGTGAAATACTTTAATGCCATTTTATCAATCCAGTTTTGTTAGAAAATAAGTAGGTAACTACCGAGATCGGTAACCAATCCTTCAGAAGGATTTTTTACAGCAACTTGCAGTTGTAATGGATTTTACATACATAAATATACAGTGGTCGAAATAATTATAGCTAAGTTTGTTGATTTTTTTAGAGCACTACTACACGGGCTTTGGTTAAGAATGAACTATATTTTGCTTAAAAAAATAACCAAAATTAAATAAAAATAAGATGTTGAAACTTGTCAAAATATGGTGCGGCTACAATTATTTCGACCACTGTATGTACATCTATGTATATACATACGTATATCTTCTAGCTTAGAGTGAAGTATTGCTAAGTCCATTTTTTGTTAATTTTACGGGAGATAATAAAAACCTTTCCAACTGATTTTCTTCCATCTCTTATTTATTTGGCAAAATTTTAATATAAAATTCGTATACATTTTTCTAACTAAAACCCCATTCAAACGCGTGAAATTCCGCAACTTCGATGAAAGGTCTTTGTATTCTTTGGGGCTTATGAAATTTTCGATGATTATTTTGGATTTAGCGAATTTGCGTATCACAGCATAGAAACGAACAGAAAAAAATTGGTAGCTCTAAGTTTTAGAAACCAATTTAACTTTTCACTCTAAGCTAGCGATATAATATTGGGTTATCAAAAATTTACTTCAAGTCTTTATATTTTAGAATTAGAGGGAAATATACAGCCACTGGTGCACATCCTCTGAGAAAGTTGGCGTCCAATGAGCGCTGATAAGTAACCTTATATGCTAAGTTAAAAATGTATCAGCTAAGGGTTCTTTACTCGTCAAATGTTGCCTTACTAAGTAAACAAAAAAAAAAAAAACTAAATGCAGCACCAAATCTTAACCCATTTGTGAACCAATCATGAAATCGACGTGCTTTGCTGGCGTTAAGCCAATAATAAATGCAAGAATTGCTCTTTTAATAAATGTACAACGACTACTACTTATTTATTTTTATTTCTACTATCGTATCACACACGAATTATAATAAATATAAAACAATCACCCAACTGAAGGCCTTTTACTTCTGTAAAATTGATTTTATAAATTGTTAAATGATTAGAAAATCTTATTTGTTTATTCTGTGATGCACTTCCTCATTGTTTTTTTATGAAATTTTCTTACAGCTTAACTTCGCAAACGCCCATACGTGCGTACACAACCGCTCGACAGGATGTCGGATAATCAACAACCGCCACCTACGTCCAATGGTGAGGAGCTTGGCCCACCAAAAGCGGACTTCAGTGCCCCTCCTCCCTACGAGTTGACTAACAGCGGCGGCAATACTCAGCAGCTACAGCATTCGTCACTACAGCAGGCGCCGCCCGTGCTACAGGTGTCTTTGCCGCCAATTAACACACCAACGCCAGCCGGCGTCATGATGGTAACTGGCGATATGCCAATAATGCAGCACACGGCCAAGCTGCCCACATACGAAGAGGTGCAGATGGAGAAATCAATGAATGGGGAGCTGCCTCCGCCATTTATGAACGCACACGTGTTGCAACCACCGCCGTTGCCGCCACCAAACCCCCTATTGGCCCATATACGTGACGGTGTGGGCAGTATGCCAGGAACCGGCACAAACGCCGCTGGCACCACGCCAGCTCTTACATTCATCGCCATCGATGCGTCTGAGGCTGAGAATTTGACCAGCACCACCGACAACAGTCTGCTCGGCACGGATATAATGTTCATAATGGCCTTCATGGTGGCATTCCTTTTCAACTGGATCGGCTTCTTAATGCTCACCTGCTTTTGTCACACAATCGCTGCACGATATGGTGCCCTGTCCGGGTTTGGCTTGTCGCTGGCAAAGTGGACGCTCATTGTGAAGAACTCCACCGAGCTGGCATCGCACGAAAATTCGTGGCTCTGGTGGCTTATCATGGCCTTTGGCTTCTTGATTTGTGTGCGCGCGCTCATTCAGTATGTGTCCATCAAACGCACATGGCGGTTGCTATCGACCTCGGCGCAAGAGCGTTTGCTCTTCTTTTATTAGGTCATCAATGGTGCAACCAACACCTATGTGATGCTTGCAATGAAACATGCAAGCAGATTCAATCTAATTTTTTATTTTAGTTTAGCTTGTTTAGTTCTTTTTGCACCGTAGAATGTTTGTACATAATAAAACAAATATATTAAATAATATAAAATTCGGGTTACACTAAATGTATGTATCTACATACAGATCGTCGTTTAAAGTACAAAACCGCCTATGTGAGGGTGCATAAATTATTTTGTAGAGAGTAAAAATACTCATATTTCAAAATGGTTCTCTCTTTAGTAGTAGTATATTTCAGGATTTGGCTTGAGCCAAGAGCTTCTGTGAGCAAATGCAATTTTTGGCAAAAATAATCAGTTACGCGGTTTTGCAGAACGACGATACGCGGTTTTGTACTTTAAACGACGATATATAGGTTAGAGTTTTAGTCCAAAATTATACATTGAGCTTTGCGTAGAAATGTGGGAGCCACGTTTGCACCCGAATATTTTATTTTTTTTTTAACACTTGTATTAAAAAGTTATCGCGCAATGTAGAAAATAAAATCGTTGAAAACCCTCCCCTACAAGGGAACAGTCTCGAAAAGGGAATTAATATATCGCTTTTAACGCATACATTACAAAAATTAAGGGGCCGTATTTTTATAGACCAATTTTTGCACACGAGCAGCAGGAAATACATAGATGTTGTAGGCGTCGCCAGCATTTCGGTTCTTTCAATATCTTTTGCTCCCCCGATTGGTATTAGGATTTTATTAGAGAATAGCTCTGGAGGTACTTAACAGGATGCCATTTTATTAGGTTTTTATTTCGAAGCGTTTTATGAATATCAAATTCAAAGTTATTAATATTTGTTTCACAACCCGCAATCAATCCAAATGTACATATATTTCCGAGAATCTAATATTGTGTATTATTGTTGTTTTTACTATTATCTATATCAATGTGTATTCTTAACGCAAATAGTTTATGCGTTTATTTCAAATAAATTATAGTGAACATAAAATTGTCTTTCTAACGTTTATTGCTTTAAAACTAAAAAAATACACTTTCTTACATTCAAGTAACAAGAACGTAATTGATGAAGATGAAAGTGAGTTAAATGAAAATATGCAAGTCAAAATATGTACTTTAGGTGCGAACGAAACGACGTACCAAGCTGTCGTTTTCATTACATAAAGGTGATTTTTGTGCGCGCCATGTTGACTTGCCACACGTTCAGCTCCTCGTAGTCCTCAATGCACTTGTCCACTTGGTCTGGTTTGAAGCCTTTGGTTGTACAACGATCAATTACGTCCGCGATTTTAACAGTATTGCTAGAGCCGGCTAATTCACGCACAACAGCGAATATCTTGTCCGATGTGTTGGGGACGCTGGAAAAAAAGGATTTAATATTAATACAAGAAAATTGCAATGAAGTTTATATAAACAGCTTTATTGCCAACTCCATGTGAATAAATCGTTCCCATAATTTAACATGTACAACAAAAACAAATTGGGAACAATTGTTTTTGTTTTGCTTTATAATTTTTGGCAATATATGTTCACATGGAATTCGCAATAGGGCTGAATAACGCGCGTTAAGCGCCTGTCATATGAACGGCGTCTAAAATATTGATAGCAAAATAAAATTGCAAATAGGGGCAACCATACACCACCACTCAGCATTATTCCAAGCTAAATTTCACAAAAATTATTTTGGAAGATTTTTCAATGGCCTGGTTTTTAATTTTTTGTTAGAAAATTGGACCTCAGTTAAAAAGTTTTAAGGTTAACTACCTTCCAGAGATGCCACTAGTATGAGCCTTAATACGACAAATATAATATTGCGCAATACTTACTGTCCTTTTTGATGCTCATGTAACTGATTCAACGAATCCTTTGACATTTCCAGCAGGCGTAGCGCCTCGGCTACGTCATCCTTTTCAACCTTATCCGACAAACGTAGACGTGCCAGTGCCGTAGATAAGCGTAGAATTCCCAAGAGATTACGTGCCGATGTAAAGGTCATGTCCTTTTGATTGCGCGCCTCTCGTCGCAATTCCACATAAGCTCCAACAATGTATTCCGTCAACTCATCGGGTATAGTGGGGTTTTTGCGCTTGCAAAGGTTGATGTAACGTCGCATAAGATTCATATCGAGTGCCTTTACTCGTGTCGGTGGCTGCTTATTGTGACTATGCACGTAGGTAATGTGCTTAGCTAAACGCAAATCATTGTCTCGATCTGGTTTATCTTGCATTAGCCAAAGCAAATCGAAACGTGACAGAAGTGCAGCTGGTAGCTGAATATTTTGTTCAACTGTGCGTCGTGGATTGTAACGTCCAAAAGCAGGATTGGCAGCAGCCAATATTGATACACGCGCATTCAACGTAGTCATAATGCCTGCTTTGGCAATGGAAATTGTTTGCTGTTCCATTACTTCGTGTATTGCTGTGCGGTCCTGATCTGCCATCTTATCGAACTCGTCAATGCAACATACACCCTGGTCGGCAAGCACGAGTGCACCACCCTCAAGCATCATTTCACCAGTGAGAGGGTCCTTCATGACGGCGGCGGTTAAACCCACACCAGAGGAACCACGACCGGTGGTATATTGTGAACGCACGGCAAGACGACTTATGTAGCTAAGAAGCTGAGATTTGGCTACACCAGGATCGCCCATCAGGCAGATATTTATGTTACCACGTATACGCATGCCATCTGGACGCTTATCAACGCCTCCCACCAAAAGTAGCAGCAATGCCTTTTTCACATCCAAGTGACCATAGATCTCCGGCGCTAAACTAGTGGCAAGACGCTCATAAAAGTCGTCCTGTGCTAGCTCTTGCAACTCTTCACCAGTAAGCTCAGATTCCTGGTCACTCGCCTCGTCATTTTTATTTATGCAAACGATGCGCTATATGTGTTCAGTTCCGTACGTAATTATGGGAAAAGAAAACAAATAATGGTAAGATATACTTACGTAAGCCTGCAGGAATGTTTCAGATAATAAGCCTTGAATTATTTGTCGGAATCCTGTGCGAACTAATGGCAGAAAAACTCCTGAAATGAGCACATGATCTCCAGGTTGTGCCATACGAGTTACTTCACCACGGCACATAATCGTCATGGTGCGTGGTATATGTCCAACAGGTACTTGATCGCTGTGTTCCTGTATTTTAATCTCCTGGAATTTAACGAATTTCGAGCCACGCGTTTGCAAGTATAAACGGCCGCCAGCTTTGTTCACTCGACAATCATCTGAGGGGCATTCTTGAACAGGTATGAATGTTAACGAGTTTACAGGCTGATAAGTTTCAGAGCCGCAACGATCACAAGTATACGTTGCTACAACCATCATTGGCTTTACTTCAGTGCAACGAGTAACAATGCCTCGCACAGTTACTAATTTTCCGATATGTTCCGCTTTGACTTCACGTATGGACTGGGCCTTCTCATTGGAGTGTGGCTTGAAAGCCACTTCACTGTAAATACGGAACAAATATTGCATTTATAAAGAAAGTAGAATATTTTAATAAGCTTTTCTTTACAATCGTTTCATCAACTCGGGTGGAAAATTGTTACGTTGATCCCGTTGTTCCATTGGATTGCGTGTGCGCGACTCCATCAACAAGCGGTGTTCGATGTAAACATCCAAGGCGTCCTTGGCTGGAACCTCACGTTCTTTGAAGCTGGGCAGAAGGTCGACAATAGCGTCACTGAACATCGCTTGATAACGTCGGCAATTGGAAATAATGGCTTCTGTAAGCTCTTCATTGAATTCCGATACATGATCGAGATCTATTGTGATGAGTATTTGTTCGCGATGGGCAATTTTCACAAGTTGATGTGCGTAAACAAATTGCTTTTTCCCGGTGTCATCTTCTTTGCAGAACTCGGACAGAAAGGTCTTAATTGATTCTGTAAAATTTATGTTATCCTCGTGAAGGGTATTGACAATATAGAGAGCGATATACTTACCCTTATCTTGTACATAATCTCGACGTGGCATTTTCTTAATAATTTACTTTCCTGTGTGAATAAAAATTAATTATATTGGATACTAAAACAGTTTTTCAAGACGCAAATGCACTTTTGCCAGCTGCAACGCACACTTTTTGGTCACTTTTGTTTATTTCGCGCCAAAATCCAAACACAGACACGCAGATGACAGCACACTTGGGCGACATCTATGTGTTCGGTAAAGAAACAAAAACCTGACAGAGTTGCATGAAAGGACTCCGAAAACATGAACACGCCTACAACAACAACAGAATTGTATTGTGTTTGGTCCCTAAGACTTCGTTCACACAGAGAAACTTTTGTTGCTCATTAAATGCAACTTCTCTTTTGGTGTTGCCCTTCGCGGCCACACAGAGCAATTCTTTTGTACCTTTTTTGTTGTCAGCTGTAAACGGCCAACCAGAGTGTCCAGATTTGCCATTTTCGCGCCAAATTTGGCGATTTTTTTTTGGATATTTCCGCTTAAAAGTTTAGAAAATCGCCACTGGTGATTTTTCGCGATTTTTTCCCTTCAAATAAGTGTTTTCCAATTATAAAAATATACAAAACTTAGTTTTCCACGATAATTTTACAGAATAGGCTAATGAACTGCGTGATAAACTTGACTTAAGAATTATATTAATAGACTGTCAAAAACGTTTAATCACCCTAATCGAAGAACTTTTGAAACGATTACCTAGTCAATTAAATACTTTTAAAAAAGCATTGATTTTGTCACCAGAAAAGTGTGTGAATCGCAAGAGGGCGAGTTCAACACCACCTTCACGACGAGACCCAGAAGCTCCCAGTCAAGGAGCCTAACATACTGCTCTGCAAGCAGTTCCTTGTAGGGAGCCACAGCCTAGCAAACATCTGCTTGCAGAAGAGCCCTCGCCAAGGCACGTCAGGAGGCATCTCTACGAACTGACGGACGAAGTCCAGATGTTCATTAACCAACCTCTGGACCCGTCAGCCTACCGACAGGCCCTGAACGGCATTCACGGGGAATAAGTTTCGAGTTATGTAGACTCCCGCCCTGTGAATGCCGTTCTAGGCACACAACCACCGGACGTGGACGGGACAGAACTCTGTCTGCTTCGGCTGGCTATTGCAGCAGGCCAAACTCATACCTGAGCAGAATTAACGAGGATGTGCCCAACCAATGCCCGGCATGTGGAGAGTTGCCACATGACTCTCGGCACCTCTTCAAATGCCCTGAGACCCACACCCAGCTAACGCCCCTGTCCTTATGGACAGACCCAGTTGAAGTCGTACACTTCCTGGATGACAATGTTGACGGATGAACCGACCCGAGCGAGGCTTGGTAGCCGCTACAACAACAACAACAAAAGTTTCTCTGTCTGAGCCTACACTATACACACCTAATATCCCAAATGTAACTGTAAACCCACCATTTGTCATTTGCCATTTCGCTTGAAACCTGAACAAAAAATTTTCTTTATTTAATTTTTGCGCTAAAATATTTCCAAACTAAAAGCTCGAGAAAGCGAAAGTGTTGTGTGCGAAATTGCCTTAATAAAAATTACGAGACGCCGTTTTCTGCATTCCCCAGGGACGCAGATGAAGCGGCCAAGAGGAGGGATAATCTCCGCATCGAGCCCAATGAGAAACAGTGTGGATCTGTGGGCATTCGCAATAATCAAAGCGGAGCTTTTTCGCACTTGCCTGATTATCAGGTTATCTGGTTAAAAATTATTATTGTGCAGTGTATTTTTTGTTGTAAATTGAATAAGAAATATAACCACATCACTTGATAACCCGGCAAGCGTGAACATCCTCGTATCCCCGGATGTCTAAAATACCACATTCGCAACATCCCTAATACATACCTACTTACATGTTTGCACATAAATTAACTTTTTTCAGAAGAAAATATTTTATGGTACTACCAAGGCACAGTGAACAGGTAGTATGGGTATAGCAGCTGATTTGATTTTTTTTCAAAATATTTGGCCTCGAAAATGTCAAATATTTATAATTTCTTCTCACAAAAATTCTAAATTGTTAATATCAATTTGCAGATAGCGAACAAAAAATTTACTTTAAAAGAAAAAATCGCTAAAAATCGCCAAAAGCGATTTCCTAATTTTATTTTTTTTTTTATCCAAAACCAATCGCCAGCTTGGCGCTAAATCGTCCAATCTGGACACTCTGGTCGTTAGCGAGACAGCAACGAATCATCATCGCGGATGGGTATTCATTCTGCTTTGTTTCTTGAATACAAAGGTGCCTTGCGAGAAATGTGTACGTACATACATACACTGCCGGAACAAAGTATTGGCACAGCAAATTTTTCACAATATATGCCACAATGTTCATTCTAACATTTTTCCGCTAATTTTGTATAAAAATATGGTTCATTCTACAACAAAAATCATAAAAATTTAATTCCTGAACTTTATGCGAAACTCGCGAAAATTCAGCAAATTTTCAACTTTTTAATCAGATTTTTCAGAATTTTTTTGAGAATACAGATTTGGAACCCAATCAATTTTGTTATAATAACGTGCACGTTTTAAGTAGCTAGGAATTACCGTTGATTTTTGGCAATTTTTGACTAACTCCGAACTTGCATTTTTTACTAGAATTTAATGGGCTGCAAAACTGCACACTCAAAAAAATTCTAAAAAATCTGATTAAAAAATTTAAAATTTTGTGAAAATTTGCTGAATTTTCGCGAGTTTTGCACAAAGTTTAGGAATTATATTTTTATGTTTTTTGTTGTTGAATGAACCATATTTTTATAGAAAATTGGCGAAAAAATATTAATATACAACTCCCGATAAAACTCCTGAGTTTGGTGACTTTTTAAAAGGCGCGGTCGATCCTCTTTCGTTTAGTGCGGTTTGAGCCAGCCACTTAAACACACAATTTAGGTAAAATTATTCAATTAAACTCTTTAAAAAGTTGTCGTTTTGAATTAACTAATCTTTAGTTAAAGAAGAAAGTGATGTAAACAAATGTTCAGCTGCCGAAGTCGCTTTCGCAAACTTTTTTTTTCTCAAAACCAGTTACAAATGCAGTCGGCCGCTGTGGTGTAGTGGTAAGCAGTGCGCGCTTCCACTCCGCAACGCCTGGGTTCAAGCCCTGGTCAAAGCAACATCGCAAAAAAATATAGAAAAAAGGTTTTTTCTTAACAGCGGTCGTCCCTCGGCAGGCAATGGCAAACCTCCGAGTGTATTTCTGCCATGAAAAACAGCTTCTCATAAAAATACAATCGCCGTTCGGAGTCGGCGTAAAACTGTAGGTCCCTCCGCTTTGTGTGACAACTTCAAGGCGCACGCCACAAATCGGAGGAGAAGCTCGGCCAAACACTAACATATGTGCAAGCGCCAATCTATTATTATTATTATTAGTTACAAATGCAACGTCGCGTTCTTGCGTTACAAGATCATGCGGTTCATGACGTCCAATACTTACCTAAAAAAATTTCAATTAATTTCAACGTTTTTATTTATTTTTTTTTGGTTTAAAATTTAATCATTTATTTATATTTCATTTTACAAAAATTGCATAGATCTTAAAAAAAAATTATAAAATAAAACAAAAACTAAAGCATTTTAAATATTTCCGAAATTTAAAAAAAAAAACATATAAAAACAAATATATAGCGACCTGCAGAAATTGAATGTGCGAAATTGAGATGTTTTCAAAATATCTTTTGTATTTTTCGTAAAAGCAACCACTGTAAAGTAAAAAATATCGTTTTCTCTCTACATACATTGTTGTTGTAGCATAGATTTACCGTACAGTTTTTTTCTATGTGTATGTGCAGGTGTGTTTTATGTTTGTAAATATGTATGTTTTCATAAACTGAAAACATGTTTTTTTTATTTTTTATTATGAATTTATTCAGTTTTGCATAGTTTTTTGATTTATGATGAAGTATGCACTTTATAACGGTTATATGTTGCAGAGTTGAATTTTAACTGTTTTGCTTCACTATTATTGTAATTTTAATCAATTGCATTTTAAAATTTATTATTTAACATAAATAAAAATAGTAATTACATATACATATTTATGTTAAAGAAAAAAAAAAAAAACTATACAAATACTTAAACACATGCAATAATGTATGTATGTATGTATGTATGTAACTTAAAGTTTATTAATCACATGCAAAGTTAAATAAATTACACATTGTAGGAGTCTGAGGGCCAGTTTTTCAGTGCCAGTTCAAACTTAGATTAACTAAATACAACCGTGCACTAGAAAATCTGGCCCTAAGGCAGATGTACATAAAGTCAAACGTATAAACTTGGCGCGTACAACATACATACGTACATATGTAATTTACGGATGTACATAAGGGCGGGTCAATTTATATGGGACATTTTCTCGACTAAGCGGGTAAGTTATTCCAAGAGAACTTTCCGATGAAACAATGGGCCTTAAATCAATTTCGAACTTGCCGAAATCCGAAAATTTGTTCTTTTTCCTTTGAAATGATTTTTAAGGAAATGCTAATTCAAACATTTTATGAAACTACAGCAAAAAAAAAAATGATTTTAGACCAATGGATTCTTCGGCAAATTTGCTTAGAACTTCAGGTAGGATACTGCTATGCCATACCCGTATAGTAAAAAAAGTGCCCACCCTAATGCACATATAAAAATTCCACTGAAAATAAACTGCAGCTGAGTAGCATTGCACAGTTGGTTTTGTGCTTTCTTTTTTTGTAAAATATGCTTATACATTCATCTCCTCTATTTTCAATTTTCTTCGATTCAAATTTTCTGCGCGCTACTGTACTTTTGTCATGTGTACATATGCATGTATGTATGTATTTATGCACCGAAGTTTATTTATGTCGTTTTGCCACATAAACTCCACACGTTTTTTTTTATGCTATGCGCGTTCACATTTTCATATACCTACAGTTGCAAATACATATGTATGCATTTGTATGTTTGTAAATAAGTATATAAAAATAAGTATGTATGTATATCTCTATTTGCATAATTAACTTTGATAAACGCACTTTACAATTAAATCAGTTTTTAAAACTATTATTCACGCATATTTTTGTGCAATTGCATATATGTATGTATGTATGTATGTATGTATATGTGTGTGTGTGTGTGTGTAAACAAAAAAATAGGCCATTTGCAAATTAAAGTAGCTA